GGCTTGCGGCAACCACATGTGACGACCCCGGGCTGGACTCCGCTTTGTCCATGGTGAAAGTTGATGTAGTTTCGCTTTCACAACGAAGCACACAGCGTCTTCACGACATGGCGGCAGCGGCAACAACAATACTACAGCGAGAATAAAAGTTACGCCTTCTTTCTTTGCGTGAACATTTGGGCGGCGTTATGCAAATCTTCCCAGATCGTGACGTAGGTATGTGGGGGCGTGTTAGAACGAGCCGTTTTAGGGGGGCGTGGCAGAGCCTTAACTTTGATAAAGAATATCTCTTTGGTTTTGAGACTTTAGTCTTTGCAACTTCAGGGATCTTATCTATGCACAATCAGCTTGTAACACTCCAAAGAGAAAGGAAAACTTGAAATCGCATCATATGACCCCTTTAAGATATTTGTGAAGGAATCTGAGAGCTCTCTGACCCTCCCAGCAAGGGTTTACGTTGTTTACGCTTTGATTTGAACGAAAACAACGTATCCACGTGGCGCAGCTGACACAAAACAGCATACGCAATTTACGTTAAGTGGATACTCTCCAAAATGGTGCTAGGGTGATGCGGAGGAGACGAATTGTTGAATAAAGTCGTTTTTTTTTCTTCTTTTGCTCTCAAAAAGAATTCTTGTAGCTTCGTAAAATTATGGTTGAACCCCTGATGTCACATGGATTATTTTACCGATCTCCTTGCTATGTTTCTGGACCTCGATCGTGTAAGGACCCTTGCTGTCTATGGGAGGGTGAGAGAGCTCTCAGATTTCATCAAAAATATCTTAATTTGTGCTCCAAAGATGAACGGAGGTCTTACGGGTTTGGAATGACATGAGGGTGAGTAAATAATGACAGAATTTTCATTTTTGAGTGAACTATCCCTTTAAGACACTTGAGTTTGTGACAAGCGCTTTAGGAGTTATGAGCGATTTTTCGTACTTTTGATTGCTGTAGTGCCCCCATCAGGCCAATCGGGGCAAGCCTTGGTGAGGTTGTAGACAGGGTGGGTACTACCATCCCTCAAAGTTTTATGACTCTACACCTTACAGTTTGGTCTGCCTGATCACTTTTAAGTCAGAATGCTGATCTTTGAAGATCTTTCAGGGTTTCAGCGCTACGTGAACCCCTAATAATACAGTAATGTATACTTTTGTCACCCTATCTAAGAATATTCTGTACTTATATAAAATGCAAAGAAAAAACAACAACAATGACAAGACATTTCACCTGGAAAATAATTAAATTAAATGGAAAAGACTTGTGTTTCTTAGGAGACGCAAGAAGGTGTGTAGTGACGCACTAAATTCAGGTAAATCTGCTTTACTGTTTATGTTCTTCCAACGCCCTCTTATTCGATTTGATTCTGTGAGTACTATTACACCATAATAATAAACAATAAACAAAAGAATGTGGAATGTGTGCGTCCACTCCTTTAAAGTAACCTAAAGTTCACTCATTTGAATCTGTGTCCTCATAGTTCTTAAAATCTGCTTTGAAGTGTACAGTGATGTATGTTTCTACAGTTCTACAAAGTTCTACAAAGTATGAGTTCTACAAAGCATGATATGGTTTGAAACCTGATTTTTTAAGTGATATAGTTAACCCTTTCATGCATGGCATCCGCTACAGTGGACAGATATTTGGAAGCCATTTTGAACCATTTAAGTTGTAGCACCATGTCCCAACCACCAACTGGTCAACCTCCAAAGTGTTATCTATAATTCCATTTAATTATTGTCTTTTTATCTCTTTTTTTGTTTTGAGACATTGCATAATGCATTCAAAATGGCGGCAAGAAGAATAGATGCACCAAATACCTCAGGAATAGGTGTTAAATCCTTTTATTCTCAGAAAACCAGACAGATACAAAAAATATTTTTCATCTAAATAAGATGTTAGAAATACCTTTATCCAGATTTTAACAATATTTTTCTTGTACATTTTTTTTCTGTGACAGAAAATACATCTGTCCACTCCACTGGATGTTCTGCGCCAAAGGGTATATTGAGCCTGTTGGGGATATAGATTCTGCCTTATTTTGTGTGTTTTATCAAAATTATAATTTACACTTACACCGTTTTATAATACAGCAATATTAAATAGTTTTCAGATTTTATAATTTATTTCAATGCTTACAGTCTATATTTATTAGGTCATATAAAAGTGTAGGCATGTTCTGTATGAGTTCAGGGATGATTGTGTTTGAGTGTGTGGTGGAAGTGTGTGTGTGCTTGTGTGTGTGTATTTGTGCTCACCTGTGTATGAATAGCCCACCATCACTCAAAATAAAATATATTGGGGAAAAAAGTTATTGGCATGATTTTTCACTTGCTTAAAACTAAAAACAAACATATGAAAATATTATTTTGTGATTGAATAATTCATGCATGAAAGGGTTATATAATATAACGTGTATAATATTTCAATGTTTGGATATTTCAATGTTTAAAAACATTTCTACTGATGTTCTAGTGCTCTATGGAAACCACACCCGCTGCTAAACAAATGAGTGTTACACCACACACCTAACACAACACAACCACACCAAAGGATAACCATTGAAAAGTAAATTAAGATATTTTTTGTAGTCTATGTTCAATAAACAGCTCTATAACTGAATGTCATGGTATAAGCTTAAGGCAAATAAAGATAAAGAATATAAATATTGACTGGTCTTATATCGATCTGTAAAGGACTAATGAATAATTCACACCTTGATTTACACTTTTACAACAGTCCTAGTCACAGTATTTTAAACAGTATAGCATTTACCTTTAAAACAGTCTCATAAGAATTAAGTAAATGGTTCTTCATGACGCTGAAAACTGTTTCCTTGAAGATGGACTTTCTTTTAAATGTATACATTTTCACAGCAAGGTAGTGTTTCTTATTTCCCCCGCACTGTCTCTTTGTTTATGTTTAGACATCTATAAAATGTGGAATTATTATCCTTTAAAAGTTATTTTCATGTGAAAAATAAAGGCTGTTTTATGAAATTTTAATGAATTTATGTATTTATTTGAAAACAACAATAAATTTAAGGGATAATATATATATACAAATTAATAAACAAACACAAAGAATGGATAAAGTGCATACTGACAAGCACCCAGACTGGAGATGTAAGAGGTAGTCAAATTAAATCGTTTGGTATTCAAATAAAATCTGTGACGGTAACTTTTGAAAGAATTGTTTAAAAAACGTGTAAAGAACTACAACTCCCGTAAGAGTCAAAAAGCCCAGCCTTCTTTTACGACAGCAAAATTCTATTGGTTCACATCTGTTTGACTGACTCCACTCTAGCCAATCAGCTGCCTTCTGGATGAACGGAATGTGGGCCACTGACCGGCGTAATGCCAGCGCGAGAAAGTGCCACGACTCCACACAGACATCGACTGACTCCTCAAGCTGGGATAAGATTTTTTTTTTTTAGTTTTTTTTTTTTTTGCTGGCGTGGTGAAGGCAGTTGGATTCGCGATAATCACTTCGGTTTAAACTCTTCCTGAAGTGATTCATCCAACGGAAATCTTCCGCGAGAAAAGGTGAGATTCAAAGCTTTTGTTATGGCGTTATTCATTAAAAGCCTAAACGATTTTCAGTAGCAATTAGCAGTAAACTTTGATCTCTCCCATTTATTTACTCCCCTCTTTAACTAGCTCGTAAGCCGAGTGGGTTGAAGACATCTTATTGTAGTTAACGTTACGTAGCGAATAGCATGGCTATAATAAGTGGTTTCACGTTTTGGCTTGGGTGATGCTCTGTTGTAGGCAGACAGTTAATACCAGCTTTTCTAGCAAAGAAAAATTTGCATTTAATATCACATTTATAACAGCTTTAATGTCTGTGAGAATTATCCGAAATTTGTTTAAACACATCATTTTGGTAGTTCATTCGCGTTCCAAGTAACTTACAGCTGTAGAGTTCACAAACTCCCAGCCTTGATTTCGTATTGTATGTAAATTGAACAGCTACCTTATGAATAGAATATGGAACAAATACTGTTTCATCTAGTGTGATTCAGCTTTTTAATTCAGTTTCATAGCAAATGTCGAGTCTCCCCCTTAATTTCCTATTGGCTCTTTAAATGGCTCCCAGTGAAGTCATTACAAATTAACCATATAATAACTATTTATTATAACACCTTTAAATGTGTAAGACAGGAATTAACATAAATGTCACCTGTCACATTTTACAGGCATGATCATTGAAATTTCAGAGAGAAAATTTGTCTCCCCCCCACATATCTCCTATTTGCCTATTTTACTTTAAATGAGCTGGGGTGTGAATGTCAAGGTATAAGCATAATGCAAATAATCCTACAGTATAGAATATTTTTTAATCTAATATTGATTACGCCTTTTCATTCATTAGGTTTCCTGTATAATCTCTTTAATTGGCATCCAATCAAGTCATTATATATTACAACACAAGAATACATTGTCAAAGGCTATGGAAAAATAGAGCAGTTTATGCGCAAATCTGTTTACAAAAAAAACGTAGCATTCCAATGTACAAGTTACATATGGCCTCTAAACCTCTGTATTGTGCTCCTAAAGGTGTCTAGATAGTTCTTGCTTCTAGGATATGGTGAGTTCACAGCTTTTTTAGCAATGTATTTGTGCTTTGGTGCACATTTGAAGTGTGAGATTGGTATGGTATGAATCCTATGGAAGCAGCAGATTATAGAAATTTGCAGACAGCAGCACATGGTGGAATGGAAAACTGTTGCATAACTCCTCTTTTACCGAACAGAGTGTTTGCATATTATATGGAAGAAGCTTTTCTTCAAAGTTTTTGTAGTAGAAGTTGAGGGTAGCACACTTGGACGTAGGGCTGCACGATAAATCGAAATGGAATCGAGATCGCGATTCGACAGAAGCTGCGATTGTCATGCATATCTTTCAGTGAAGCACGGTTCTGTGATCAGCAGTAAATCTCCATCCAAAGGCCAGAGGGCGCTCTGGCGCTGAAACTCCAAATATGCCTTGCAGAAGAAACCCAGAAAATGCCTATCGCTGCAGCTGAATAAACAGAAGATTCAACTGCTTTCATTGATTCAACGTGACTAATAAACACACGATTATGACAATATATGGTTTATCTGAGTTCTTATTATTATAATTTTCATTAAAATAAAGTATATTTATAATGCAATGCCTTTATCACTGCTTAGATACTATGAAATATGTTGCGTGCCTTATTCTGTTTAAGAAGCCACATCATCTCACAGACGGATTTATTTCAAACACTCGACTGACATTATGAAGTGAGTTTGGAGTAAAAATATGTTATTAAATGTGGTATTTTCACATGCTTTCAGATGGAGCAGCATTTACTTCACAGAGCCGTAGTTCACTGAGAAGTTATGCATACAGCTGTCATTATCGCGAACGATTTCTTCGATTTCAGAATCGCGCAATAAAATTGTCTGCGATTTTTTTGCATAACTTGTCAGTGAACTACGGCTATGTGTAGTAAATTCTGCTCCATCTGAAAGCACTTGATGATGATTTCCTGCTGATTACAGAACCGGCTTTTTTAACAAAATGCGCATGACAATCGCATTCGATTAATCGTGCAGCCCTACTTGGACGTCTATACTTTTTTTGTTTTTGTTTTTTTTGGGTTGCATGGTACTCTTCTACCAAACGTAGTGTTTGCATATTGTATGGAAGAAGCTTTTCTTCAAAGTATATAGTAGAAGTTGAGCACACTTGAGCATCTTTTCCTACTCAAGTTATGTTTTTTTTTTTTTTAAAGAATAAACAAAGTGTAAAGTTTGGGATTTTCTTTCTTATCTCGAAGTCAACATTCAAAAGCCAACTTTAATGTCCTTAGTAAAAATAAATTAAGTAAAGCAATAAATATTTATTTGATAAAGATAATCTTAAGTTAAGAGGGACTTTACTGGGATGCTGTTAAAGCTTTTGGTGCCACTCTTGAGGTAAAAATCCTTAAGGTGGAACTTTAAACTGGTGGAATATATATATAAAAAATATTATTGATATAAAAATGCACCAAACCTCACCCTTTTTGTCTTTTTAATCAGAAAGGAAACTAGCAGTCATGGACATCTATGATCCTCAGACCCTTGGAATTGTGGTGTTTGGTGGCTTCATGGTGTTCTCAGCCATTGGGATTGCTTTGGTCTCAACATTTTCCATGAAGGAGACCTCATATGAAGAAGCTATAGCCAAGCAGAGGAAGGAGCAGGGGAAGACCCTATCCAGCCAACGATCAGATAAAAAGAAAAAGGACAAGGCAGCTGAGAAGAAAAATCGTGCTAAGAAAAAGGAAGATAAGCCCAATGGAAAGCTCCTGGACTCAGAGGCCAATCCTGAGGTTTCAGAAGTGCCAGCTGAGCCCAGTCCTTCAACTCCTCCAGGCCCAGAACAAGTTGCTGCACCAGCACCTAAACTAGAAGTTCCAGCTCAGAAGTCTCCCCATCCCACCCCTTCTCACAAGCCCACTTCACCTGCCCTGGCTCAGAAGTCAGCTCCACCTGCTCCAGCCCAGAAATCTGTTTCACCTACCCAAAAGTCTACTCCAGCTCCTCCTGCCCAGAAATCCTCTCCAACTGCCCAGAAATCTGCTTCACCTCCTCCTACCCAGAAATCTTCACCTGCCCCAGCCCAAAAGTCTGCTACAGCTGCCCCTGCTCAGAAGTCTGCTTCAAATGCCCAGATTGCCCAGAAAGCCACTCCAACTGCCCCAGACCAGAAAGCCACTCCAACTGCCTCAGCCCAGAAAGCAGGTCCACCTGCCCCAGACCAGAAAGCCACTCCAACTGCCTCAGCCCAGAAAGCAGGTCCACCTGCCCCAGACCAGAAAGCCACTCCAACTGCCTCAGCCCAGAAAGCCGCTCCACCTTCCTCTGCCCAGAAATCTGCTCCACCGGCCCCCGCACAAAAATCTGTCCAAACTCAAAAATTTGCTTCATCTGCCCCAACACAGAAATCCTCTCAACCTGCCCCATCTCAGAAGGCTGCTCCAACTGCCCCAACACAGAAATCCTCTCAACCTGCCCCATCCCAGAAGGCTGCTCCAACTGCCCCAACACAGAAATCCTCTCAACCTGCCCCATCTCAGAAGGCTGCTCCAACTGCCCAAACACAGAAATCCTCTCAACCTGCCCCATCCCAGAAGTCTGCTTCAAATGACCCGACCCAGAAAGCTGCCTCACCATCCCCAGCCCAGAAGTCCTCTCCACCTGACCGAAAACCCAGTCCACCTGCCCCGGCCCCTTCGCAAAAGGCTGCTACAAGTACTACCCCTCCTGCATCCCATCCTGCTCCTGAAGATGCTCCACCCGCCCCATCTCCTAAGGATAAGAGGAAGAAGAAAGCCAAAGCAGAGTCTGTTTCAGCTGAGGTTCAGCCCAAATCTGTGGCTCCATTGGAGATGGTGACCAAAAAGGTTCCCGTCATGGCAGTGCCTCCAGTGGGTACTTCGAAAGCTGCTTCAGCAACTGCTGTGCCGGCCAAAGCAGAAGAGCCCAAACAAGAAGCTCCAGCCAAGAAGAAAGGAGGATCTAAGAAGAAGTCAGAGCCAGGTATGCTGTTATCTCCACAAAACCACTTATATTAAGTGGATTCCTCCTCCTGTTTCTCTTTGCAACTGTACATTTTTAGACATTTCACTTAATTGGCATAATAATTAACAATAATATTATTATTAATAATAGTAGTTTTCAGTAGTAGTCAGTAAGATGCACTAAGACAACATCAAACCTTAGGAGTCGTAGTTTTTCTATTATTCTATTTCCTATTCCTCCAGCTTTCCATTCTTATCTTTCTTTTGCTACATTGAAGGAATAACAGGTGCCGCTGAAAATGAATGCTTACATTTAAAATCTTTATGGGCACTAAACTACAGCTCAAAGACTCTTTAATGCTTTAACCTAGTTATTATATTAGGTTAACATATTAATTTTGAATGATCATTTGCCATTTTTTTCATGTTTGTCTGATCCATGACAAATGATTGTTGTGCACTCTGCACACGTGGAGCTTGAATTTGAGTGCCAATGTTTTTCTCTCGTTCCTCCATTCTCTGTTTGTATGTATTATCTTTAATATCTTTATTATATATTAATAAAGATTAATATTTAAAATATGTATTTATATATTTTATATTTATAAATACTTATTAACAATATTTCATATTTATTATATTATATTGTATTTATAAATTTTT